ATTTATCTTCATTAACATTATAGGTCCTGGACACTACATAAATGTAATCCAGCAATGTGTAGGATTGTTGAAACCTGATTAATAATAGGTTTTAAAAATGATCTCATTTGTCACACTACCATTTTAACAATGGCCCTTCTCCACAACCTCTCTTGATGACCAGAGTCTCCAGGTTTGACATTACCTAGCTTCTTTTAACCCTTCCAGGATGTTTGACATGACTTTGACATCTGATATTACCACAGTAGGGAATGTTCCGCCCTTTTAAATTACTGGCTTGAAGGGTTAATGGGGTCGTCTAAAGGACAAGTTCACATGATCTGTATTTGCTTCAAGCCAACATTAAAGAATGTGTAGCAGCAACTCAGCAAGACACCTCACAGGTTTTGGATGAGAATAAAGAGTCTTACATTTGTGAATTCAAGAATATGGTGGTCATTTTCAGCATCAAAAATGGTTTGTGTAGTACAGGGTGTTTCAGTCACCATTTCATAATAATATAACTTTTAATGTGAAAAAGCTACAGCAGCCACTCACAGGCCATTAAATAGAGCAAACTTCAAAGTTTTTTCTTTTGTATGCAATTCAGTGCAAGATATGCTCAATATGACAACCATGTGCATTGTTGACAGCATGGTGTACAGCATGTTGTTCATCACACTACTCAGCAGCTCACAGTCAGTTATTGCATGCTTCAGTTCAGGGACTGACCAGGTAGCTCTCTTGAAGACTTATTCCTTTAGGTATCCCTAAAGGAAAAAGTGACATGGGTTGATGTTGGGGCTAGTTGGGAGCCTTGACTAACCACTGTTGAACATTTGTAGATAGTGGGTTGAGGTGATGCACTCACAAAATTGAATGTGTTAATGCAGGGGTGCCCAACCTACGGCCCGTGGCTCTTCCCAAAATCTAGTTCATAGGTATTGGCAATATCAATAAAAGTAGTTATTGTAGCCCGCGTGAGGTCCCTTAACCTGCTGAGGAGAGAGTTTGATGTTTCAGAGGCAATATCCAGGATAAAACATTTTATTTTTAAATAAAGTTCCGAAGTATGCCTAGAAAGGTTCAGTTACAACCTTTTTGCGTAGACTCAGATTTATTGGAATTTTTTCAAATTAAAATAAGTTTAATTTAAATTTTGAGTTATCCATTAAATGAATTTGATAGGGATGGTACTGATTTATGCAAATATCAATTGAAATTCTGTAAGAATTGCTGAGGTAGACACGCAAAATCTTACCATTCACCTTTTTCAACTACCATTTCTCAAAAATTCCATCCAATGAAAACACGTTTCCCAAGTTTTGTGTTTTCAAATGCAAGTAAAAGTGACGGCTAAGGATCTTTTTCCGCTATACCCACCAGGTACATGGATCATCTTGAAATCCTTATCAGCTTTTATACAATATAGATCCCTTATTGTTCACATAGCCTCCTTCTGTACGAACAATGTATACCCAACGTTGGGAAATTACTTTTAATCCCTCCCTTGAATTGCTACTATTGTTGTACATTTGCTTTCTTCTTGACACCATGGCTAACAGCTCACTGATCAGCTATACCTTGTGTAAATAATATATGCATTTTGTCACCTAAATTGAGGCCTAGTGTTACTCATTAAAGTTCCTTGGCTTGCAGATAGATAGCAGAAGCTACCATGATCGTTTTAAACTGAACTGTTAATATACAGGCATACTACAGTGCACGAAAACCTATACCCATAAATATACGGGCATACTCTGGCGGGCACGCTGGCGATACCCGTAAATATACGGGCATACTCTTCAAAGGGTTAAGGGGCCATGCAGCCCAGTTGGGCAAAAAGGTTGGCCACCCCTGTGTTAATGGGTTGTTCTCTATGTTGATACAAAATGTGGACATCTGCTCTTTTTAATGGTAGGAGAGTTGTGATAGCTTTCATACTTCAAGAGTTATGTTTTAAAATGGTGACTAAGTGACTGAAACACCATGTACAAATAACCAAGGGTAAAGGTATCAGTTTGTAGACTAGCACCTTTTCATGGATGATTTTACATTTTCTTAATTTGTATGAAATCTACGCTAGATTTTTCATATCCTTGACTGCTCAATTCAGTGTATTCTGGTTAAATTTCTGGCATAGATTTTCCAAGATGGTAAACTATGCAAAATTGTCCACAAATAAGCACTTTACTCTGTAGTGGTGCCTTTACCCTATATCCCTATATAATTTGATAATTTTGTTTTTGTTTATAAAAAATTGAGTTAAACATGAGGTCAAGTAGTCACTAATAAATGCAGTTAGTGCCCATTACTCCCCCAAGGTTGGTTTTAGATCCTACTTCAGTTCCTTGAATTGTGGTATATCATATTTTTAAAAAAACCTAAGCGAATCCCTAATCTTGAGTGAATATACCCTTCATTTTCCTGCTCGTTGCTTTTAAGTCTGTACTGCAATCATGGCAAATTTCTATATTGTCAAAAAGCTCTCCATGTTTTTTTTCTGTATGCAATGCTTGAGAACTCCTGAAGGAGTCTTGACTGGAAAAGCAAGGGAAGATGGAATGGTCTATCTTGCTTGCTGCTTCTCAAATTCTTTTTATTTTATTTTTGGCTTATGCATGAGGTAGCAGGATGAGAGAATTGCAGTTAAGTAAGTTACTTTTTAACCTTCAATGATAGAAAGATTAGAACCACAAAGATGGAAACGGGCCCTCTACAGACTCCAAGGAAAAATTAAATCCAGTGTGATTGTTATGATTCATTCTGATTGCATCTTCTTTATTGGTTTGCGTTTAAGAGGAAATGGGGTTGTAAGAAGTGTTTGTAAAGTCTTTTCACACATTCATTTATTTGGTATGTGCTTGTTGCACAGCATTGCAAATTGTGAAAAAGCAGCCATGAAGTTCAGCTATGTTCCCATTTCAACTTTCTGAAGGTTGAAAGTAATTAGTTAAAGTAACTAGTTGCATAATGAACATTTTAAATAGATAATTTCTCAATGAGTGATTAATTATGCTTTTTACCTTTTCTTTACAGATGTGTTTTCATTTAATCATCTTTCTGCTACAACACCCAATTATATTCAAGGCCTTAGATCAAAACTTGACTGCATCTGAAAGTCTACACAGACATGATTGAGCCCAATTGCAATTCATATGCATTCAGGAAGTGTCTCACTAGCAAAGAAAATCAACTTTCATTTTTGTTTGTTTGGGCTGTGTTGCTTTCAGTATCTTTTGGTTTTCTTTAGGAATGGTAATATTGAAGAAGAGTGATTAAAAAATAATGAAGTCTTTTTGTCTGAACAATAAAATGGTACCGAGATTCATATAGAACAGGGGGGTCCTACTGGCGTGCTGGATCTGACCCACCAATTCATTTTCTCTGGCCCATGAACTCCTCTTTAACAGTTGATTTTGGAAAATTGCTGCAAATTTCTCTTGTTCACATTAAAAATGTGGTGTATGTGGTGTGAGATTCATTAGTGAGGCCCCCAAACACACCTGAACCAAATCATTTAATCCCTGCCAAATTGAGTTGGGTACCCCTGATATAGAAGAATGTATGGAAAAGAGTAGGGCTGTATCAATGCATCAGTAACCACTGGTATTGGCTGCCGGTGTGGTACCATCAGCCTTTAGTTGGTTTGCAAGATGCTGATGTTGGAAGAAGAACATGCTGAACCAAGAAAAAGAAACAAAAAACCCAGTGAATATGGCTTAGAAAATGATTCTCAACAGCAAAAGGAAAAAAGTAGAGCTGATTTGATGGATCTATTGCCCTATTGATGGCACAATCGATAGTTGGAGGCATTTACAGTCTTATTACTTATCATGATTGTCTTGTACCACCCAGAGATGCGAGATGATTAAATCCACTGCCACACTTCCCCCCACCCCCATCATACATCAATAGGTCAATAGGAAATGGTCAATGCATCCAATGATTTCAAAATGGCCATCATGAAGCCTGAAAATAATTAGAAAATGGACTTTTATTCGGTCTATTTGAATAGGGTAAAACCACCAAAGTTCAGACAGTTAAGCCAAGATATGATTGTAATTCACTCATCATGCCTTAATGGTACAACACAGGTACTTCTTTTTTTGCATCTGACAACACAATATCAGTAGGTATGAGTGTGATGAAGATTATGACCATCAAAACCTTATAGCTTCCAATAATTCCTATTATGAGGGTGTCCAAACTTAGATACAAAAAAATGAAGTTCAAACACAACGTAGTTTGGACGCACCAGAAGTAAGGTGGATTTCTGCTCATGGCATGCATATTCCCTTGTGTCAGTCCTTTACATTATCTAGTTTCCTGTGGAATAAGAATTGATCACAGAATTAACAATACCACATGGGAGGTGTTTCCAAGTAAGGTTGTCTCCGTACATTTTCTTGAATTTCTTCTGTCATGGCATTCATTTCACACCAATATTTTGAAATTGTGCTCAATGATCATGGCCACCACAAGTCTTTCACTTATTAACATGGTCATCTTGGGTTAAGGAGAATTCTCTGATGTCAATCTCATGAGTGTGTGTTTATTAACAATAAACATTAGTGTGTCCAAACTTAGGTGGTTTTACCCTAAGCATTTCATTTGGCTCTTCACTTGTAACATGTCACAATTGGCATTGGCATCATCAACCTGTGGGTATGAGGTAATTGGACAAATGTGGTCTAGAACAGCACATCCCTATAAAAGAGTAATACTTAAAGCAGTTGAGATGTCATGACTGACTGAGTTATCCTTACACTGCATGGCATGCCAGATATAGCATTGAAACCTATCACAATCCAATGAAAAAACCAAAATGTAAGGATAATTTTTTCATTATTTTTCTCATCAACCACATGAAAAAATATGATCATAAAAAATGTTTTGGTACATTAAAAAAAATCATGCATGAAAGTGTTATTTGTATTGCATACTGCTTGACTGAAGAGTTTAGTTCATAGCAATGACATAGAATTTATAAATTACAAACCTGTTTCTCCTGCCATTCCAGTTACTCATTCAGAAATGATGACTGTTGCCTAATGCATGGACTCAGAATGTCAGGAGAGGAGTTGTCTTTCCTTCGGTGCAAGTTTGCTCCCACATGCCTATATTGCAATCATGCATTCTCTGTTCGTGGTCAGTTCCATGTCCATTCTTTCACATGTAAGACTTATGTGGATACATAGTTGAGAGCAGGTTTTGTACAGATTGGGGGAGGCTACTAGGAGCACATATCCCATACCTACTCAAGTGTGGGCATCATATTTGCGAACCATGTGCCAGAGACAAGCTACGAGCCAAAAAACCTGTCAGTTATACCTCTCTTTCTTCTCTGAGTAGAGACCTCATAGCATGTAGAAGAAATTGTGATACTTTTATTTATTTTTTTCTCATATTAAGCTTCAATGCATGGAGTGCTTAATGGTGAGCCCAGTGCCTGAGGGTCAAACTCAGGTGAAGGCAATTCTTGCATTGGATTTCCACATGCTTGGGTTTCTGTGCACCCGACTACGATTAAAGAACACCGAGTGAGTTTCTTTGTTTTCTTCCCTTCCCACTGTTAAATACTTTTTCTCTGATATATGCAAGATATGTTAATCAACCTTAACTCCTGACAGTCCAAGTGTGAGCTTTGTCCCTGCTGGATTGATTGGAAATCCTTTGAGTAAGGAGACAAATCCCAAAAGTGTATCCTCTCACCCCATTGATGGTGAGTCTGAAGGTTTTCTATTTGATCTATGCAAATTGATTTTTGATGTGACTTTCCTGTGGTAGGTGTGTGCTCAGAATGTTCCCAAGAGATTGGATCTTGGCTTTGCATTCGATGCAGTGAGGTCTTTTGTGGACCTTGCTTTGACCAGGTGGGAATTAGCATTTTCTTAGTATATTGCTTTGCATTGCCATGAAATTTCCAGAAAGGTAATTGCTTGTGATAATAATCCAGATCCACAAGAAGAGTAAGACATTGATGAAGCATGTGCCAGAGCCCCTCAAAGGATGTGGAAGCATTTCAAAATTTTGCCCTCAACATGAAGACAGACTGGTAGAATTTTATTGTGAAGATGATGGGGAAGTAGTCTGTTCATACTGTGCTGTTTTGGGTCAGCATAAGGACCACAATAACATTGACATCCAAAAAAAGGTATTGCTTTTTCTACACTTATCACATTAGGTATCAATTCAAGAAAAGCTTATTCCAATTTGAAACCAATCTGAGGAAATAAAATTTGTCATGTTCATGAATCTACTTCCAGTAATGCTTTCATGGGTTCTTTCCTCCTGCCTTTTTCACTCGAAGCTTCACAGCCCCAGGGTGGCCCAAAAAAAGCCAAGCTGGAAGTATGGTTGTTGGATTGAACACATGATCAGTTTTTCATTCTTTTGCCAATGAGTCAGTGAATTCTGCAAAAATATGTCAAATTAGTGATTGATAATATGCCATGCAATCATCCAGTCAATTGTAATTCTGGCAATAAATAGCAAGTTCTTTTCTTTTCTTTTATTTCTCAGCAATTTTGCCAAAAATTGCAATTGATGTTTTTTGGGACACCCTGTAGAAGCTCTGCAGCAGTAACCAGTTATAACTTGACTACCAGTATCAGTGATGAGATGCTAATATTGAAAGGAAGACAATATTGTGGCTAGTGGATCTCCTTTCCATAAAGAGAATGGAACATACAAGGTCGGACAAAAATGTTCCAAGACTGAATTTCTTATGAGTCTGTGAACATAACAGAAATTGTTGTCATGTTATGGACTGATAGGCTGTTGGGTAGTGTTTGGTGAGTCCTCATTTGACTAGCATTGTGAATGAGAGGTTGGCTGGCAATGTAGTGACTCAGTGTGTAAAGCATCTGTTGTTTCCCAGAGTGAGGCAATGCTTCATCACATTTTGTCCAAAACCAGGGAATACAGCTGTAGCTATCCATCAAATGTTGCAATTAATGTATTGACAAGTTGCCTTGTCATGCTCCAAGAATGTTGAATGGTTTTCGGGCTTTCAGCAAGAAGAAAAAGATATTCAGATCCACTTCAACCTCAACCACCTCCAATCATTCACTCAAGGGATGGCCACACCAGTCATCTTCAAAGTCATCTCTACCTGCTGAAAGCCTTGAAATTCATTCACAATTCTCCTTCCAACATCTGTGAATAGTGTTCTGTGTTCCATTCTGTTCTAATAATTTTTTCCGTTCTGTTCTGGTTTTTGTTCCATTCTGAAACCCTGAACAGAACACATCCAACACTGGTCTGGCTGTTGAACTGGCATATTTGGAGGGCTGGTCCAATTTATTGGTTGCTTGGCTCTGAGATGGCCCCTTTAAGTTGCTACTCATGCTAGGAGGTCAAGACAATGAGTTCGGTGTCCTGGGTGATGACATTGGTTGTGATCTTAGCATCACAGGGGGGGTCACGGGTCTTGTCTTGAGGGTACAGGAAGGAGTATACACCTTGCTGGTTCATAGAAAGTAAGACCCTCTACCAGGAGTACCCGTGGAACAATAACCCTGCAACTGCTGCTGCAATGCTCAAGTCTCTGAACTCTGAAAGGTGGAAGAAGCTGATGGAGATCAACTTCACTCACTCCAGCAGGAAAGCCTGGGCCCTGTTACAGTTTGGTGTAGCAAACCCAGTCCATAAACCCAGACCAGCCATCAAAGCAGATACCATTGCATCTCACCTGATGCAAACATTAAAGGTTCCACTGAAAAAGAGCATGCACTGCTGCACTATCAAACAGCAGCTCTATGCCAACTTAGCTGCTTCACAGGTTCCATCACCTGTCAGTTCCATTCACAATTCAGGAACTTGACAATGTTTTGGTAGCAACCAAGCATGGTAAGGCTGCCAACCCAGATGGAGTCTACCCAGACTTCATGAAGGCCTTAGGCCTGAAAGCCAGGAGGAGGCTGACCTCTTTCTTATCTGACATCTTGATCACAGGCAGAATTCCTGCTGTGTGGGAGTAGGCAAAAGTCATTGCCCTGCTGAAGCTGGGAAAATTAGCCAATGAGGCAACAAGCTACCACCCTATCTCCTTACTTTGCACTTGCTACAAAGTCCTGAAGAGATTGCTACAGAATGGTCCCTGTCATTGACCCAACCATCTCCAAGGAGCAAGTGGGTTTCTGGCCTGGCTGTAATTGCTGCGACCAAGTGGTGGCTGTAACCACCCATACTGAAGCTGGTTTCAAACACTGCCTCAAGACCGCCATAATGTTCGCAGATCTCTCAGTGGCGTATGACACAGTATGGAAGGAAGGTGTGTTGTTCAAACTTTCCACCATCATACCATGCCAAATGACTATCTGCCTCCTCAGCAACATGTTAAGCAACTGCCACTTTCAGGTACACGTTAGTGCACTGAAGAGCAGATATCAGACCCTCAATAATGGACTCCCCCCAGGGATCTGTCCTTGCCCTGATGTTATTCAATATGTACACCAGCGATTTGCTTGAAATTGCATCCAGGAAATCTGTGTACACTGACAACATCACGCTGCCTACATGAAGCATTGACCTCAACTCCACCAATAGAACCCTCACAACTGACCTCCAGAAGATGAAAGAGTACTTCCACCATTGGCACCTCTGACCCCACCCAAAGAAAACCTTGGTGTCAGCATTCCATCTCAACACTCACCAAACCAAATGACTCCGGAGAGTGCCCTTTTGTGATTCTGATGTAACCAACATCACCACCTCCAACTACCTGGGTGTCACCTTGGACCAGACACTATTGTACTGTGTGCACCTGCAGAACCAAGTCAACCTGATCCAGAAACTCACTGGATCATTTTGGGGGCAGATGTGCAAGAACTCCACACTGCATCCCTCATGCTAGTGTACTCAACCACTGAGTATTGCTGCTCAGCATGGCTTTCAAGTGCACACCTGAACGCAGTAGACATACAGTTTAACTCAATCATGAGGATCATCACCAGAACCCTCAAGCCCACGCCACTACCATGGCTCCCGGTGCTTGCAAACATCATGCCTTTATCCCTTCACCAGGAAGCTGCAGCATCAAGGGAATATCACCGTTACACCAACCAAGACCTGCTCATCCATGCAGTCCTCAACAACCTGCCACCCCCTCATCTCAAATCAAGGTAGTTGTTCTGGGTTACTGCAGATGCCCTCCATCGTACACCATGCAGCCTAGAGGACCAATGGAGGAATGCCTGGAACTTTTCCAATGTTCCAAATGGAGACCTAGTTTTTGAGTGTACTCAACAACCCCTAGGAGCATCACTTCCCCACAAACAGTGGTCTACCATCAACCATCTATGCACTGGACTGGAGGTGTGGCCACTTCTTCCATAGATGGTAAATTAAATCATCTCCATCGTGTGATTGTGGAGCCTCTGATCAAACCCTGCAACACATCATGATACATAGCCCAAAAAGGAAATACTCTGGCAGCCTCCAGGACATACACCACCTCACACCTAAAGCACTATCGTGGATATCACACTTGGACACAAACATTTAAGATGCTACTCAACATCCATATAAAGGAAGAAGACTGGTCTGGTGAAATGATTATCACGTCAGAACATTTCCAACTTGGGACAAAAAGGTTAACTTATTGCACTGCTGAAGATGAGGTTCTATGCAATGGAAACCATCACACCAACTCAAAAGTTTAATGCTGCTATATCTCCAATAAATACCATAAGTTTGTGACTCTACCATTGCTATAATTTTTACTGAATCACAGTTGCTTGGTAACACAATAATGATGACATTAGTCAATTATAAATCATGAAAGTCTTATGATTATTCACCCTGTAGTTGTTAAAGAGGCAGATTATTATGGGAATATTCAAATAATTCACTTTTTGTTGTTGATTTATAAAAGAATGAAATTGGAATTCCAGTCCTTTACAATGTGGTTGAAGTCTTTGTTCATTGTCAGAATATTTAAAAATCTTCCTTTGGTGAAATGCCAATCAAGTCATTGGCTCAGTCTTTTCAGCAACTTGCATAACATTTTGCTCATGTGGTACTGGCGTAAAGTAAAACGTAGAAGCAAGTTTGATTGACATATGTCTATAAGTAGAAAGTAAGATATTATGACATAATTTCTTCTGGATTTGTGCAGAATCTAGAGTGTACAGGTGACCTCATGAAGGCCTATCATGAAGCCAACAGGATGTTGAAAGTTGTGAAAACTAGTGAAAAGGTGAGTTCTCTTTCTTTTCTCCTTATGATTGTATCCATACAGGAATTTGTTTCATGTATTTGTTTCCTAATTGCACTTGGAGCATTTAATCTGTATTGCTGAGCAGTTGATTCTGAAATGAATAGCTTTTGTTTTCATTGATGCCACATCTGTTTATGTTGGCCCTCCTTCATTCTTTTGGTCTGTCCTTGAACAAACTCTTTCAAATTGAGTAGGCAGGGTTATGGTGAGAGTTAGTTTAGCAATAGGAGTTCATAGGGTTTCCTATTTCTGCTTTTATTTTTCATTTCTGTACATGTAGGAAGTGTCTAACCTCCACCATTGATTCATTCAGCACACTGAGAACCAGGCTGTGGCACAGAATAGACTGCTTGCTTATATAAAATAAGCATTTACACAGGCATTTATCAGTCATCAATTTGGCAAGATCCAGATCACAGACATAGAGTCGGAACTCCAAGGAGTGGATCTTTGGAACATGATTCAATCTTTGGTGATACACATATGTTTTCAATCCATGTCAGCGAAGCAGAAATCCATACTTCTCCAATGTCTCAGCATCTAATTCAAGGTTCAAGCGACGAATGAGTTCTTTGCGCTTCTTTTCCCTTTTCTGTTCCTTTTCTTCCTTGACTTTGAGTTCTTTCATTGCTTGACGAAGAAGATGTGCATGCTTCTTCAGGATGTAGAGGTCTACCTGAGGCCCATGGTAGTCAAAAGGAAACTCTGGTTCCTTCTCCAGGCGAAACTTGAAGAGACGCTCATTAAGTACATAGAGCTGTGGAGCAGTTGCACAGTTCACATTGTACCACCAGTCACATGTGTAGGTTGCCTGATTGAACACAGTCCCATTTGGACAAAGGAAGGATGACTGCCGCCCATCCAGGTCACAGTAGTGCCACACCTGCACTCAAGGAATAAAGTAATAAATTTCATCTGCAAATGGAAGGAGCCAGAATGATCTTTGATCTCATAATGATGTATTTATGTCATATAGAGCATCACCGTCTGGCCTGATTGAACAAAACCCACAAACCCTTAACATGGAGAAATCAACTACACACTTTTACTGCTATTCCATCAGAGCTTTGCACATTTAAAGAAAATTATTTTAATTTGCTTCGACTTTAACCCTTTCATTCCTAGCAGGACTCAGGAGTCCTGCATTTTCTTTGCATATGTTAGAGGACTGCATGACCTTGAGGACATGGCAGGATTCTTAGTCCCTTTTTATAGTAGTTCGCCACATGTCAAGATGACTGCAGTTCATAGTAATACAGGGTGGGGCAGAAGCACCTGATGGTTTTTGAATAGTAATTACAAATGACTGATTGCAGATAAACTTTATAGTGATATATTTTTTAATTTGGCATACATTGGAGAATACAGTTTTCCATACCTCAAATTATTTTTTGAAGGTGAAGTCCTGCTGATGGGCTACTTTGCTGGCAATCAATCATTTGTTATTATAATTAAAAAAAACCATCAGGTGTTTCTGCCCCACCCTGTATAAAGCTGCTGTATTTCCTTTGGCACTTCAAAAATGGTGTCATCATTTACATTTATAGCAGCTAAGACATTTCTTTCCCAGCCAGTTTTTTATGTTTTTTGCAAGTTAGATAATGGAAAGTAGTGCAGAAATATTAGGAAACATACAACATAAAATAGTGATATAAGTACTAACTAAACTAAATTAAAAGCATGATTTTATTAATGTGTTTACTTTCATTAAATAATTGAAATAAATATTTAGTTTTACTTGAGGAAGCCATTTTAAAAGCATTTTTATGTCACATAAGCTTTGTTGAAGCCCAAAAAGCAAATGACATTTTTTCCATGCTTAAAACATAATTCAGGACTGAAAGGGCTAAGGCCATCTTGAGTAAAACACTTCTATGTGTGAAGGTATTTATTTTGGCG